AGCATAAAAAGAGCTAAGCAACTTAGTAACTTCAAGATCATATGCATGTTGGATTACATTGTTACTATCAAGAGAAACCAGGAACTTAACAAAGAACAAATACCAGATAATTGAGCTATCATTCACAAGGTGGAAAGAATATGATCAATTATATGAAAAATGGCATGGAGCCTCTGGTCGTGCTTCTGATTGATGATATTGACAAATGGAAGTGAACTTCAAATTGTTCCTGGATATATAACAAGAAAAATCTGAACCACCCTAAACAGCATTTTACATTCGGTTAAACTAGGAGCAGAGACTTGAGGAAGCTCAATAATTGCAGAGCATAGAACACGGCTTCCTTGGTAGATTCAGAAATCTCATTACAACTTCAACTACACATATGCTATCCCTGCAGCTATAATTTTGCTCAATATAGTACTATTATTAATCATATCAAGCTTCAATGTACATTGTACTACAAATATGTTTGCTCATACTCAAAAAGGGTTTGCAGTCAGATTAGAACTCATGTTTTGAACAAAAACTAATAACAAATCACAAAACCAAAAAACCCTGTGGGTGGGTTTTAATGGTGTAAAGGTGGAGGCTCAGTGACGGGTCTCCAATAACGGTGGATGGTGGTGCAGAGATCGCCGGTGGTGGTGGGTTATCGTTATGGTCTTGTAACCTTTACCCTGCATCAGGGGAAGGAAAAAAAAAAGGAGAAGATAGAGAAGCGGAGGAACCTTACCTGGTACAAGGAGGAGCTGCAATTGCCGCTGCCTTCGTCGGTCATGGAGGGAGGGATACGGCGGAGGAGTGACAGTGGAGAGAGAGAGATGGTGTAGCCGGAGCCAAAAAAGGGGAAAAAATACTCCAATTTTTTTAAAGGTTTATAGTATTTTTGTTATGTATTTTTTCGATTTTATCTTTTAAGTATCAATTTTATTAATGTGATCTCTAAAGTATTTAATTTATGTTATTTTAGTTCTCAATCAGATAATTCATTAAATTTTTTTACACAAGTGATCACGTGTCACTTTTTTAAATGATATCATATGTCCAACACGTAATTATTCCATCAAAAATTTAATCGTTCATCTATCTATGGATTATTTTGACACAAATTAAATATTTTAGAGGTCAAATTAATAAAATTAATACTTTAAAAACCAAAATGACAAAAAATATTAGGAACCAAAAGTGCTATTAATTATTTTTTTTAAAAAAAAATAATTACCTATTTGGCTTCTAATTATATTACTCATGTCAATTCAGTCCTAAATCATATTTTGTCTCAATTTAACCTTTGACGTATTTAATCTAACTTACTGTGGCACTTTCGTCTAAATTCATTGTTAATTTTGACAAAAATTTTCACATACATGTCACGCAACCTTTGAACTATACTATAATTTCTAATTCACATGATATGAGGACTTTCATCGNTAATTCACATGATATGAGGATTTTCGTCAAAGTTAATAGCAAATTTAGACAGAATGGTCGTATTGAGTCAGATTACATAGTTCAAGAATTAAATTGACACAAACATAATTTAATAACTTAATTGACATAAATTGTATAAAATAAGTAATTAACTCTAAAATAAAATTGATGCTAAAATAAAATTTGTGCCAAAAAATCTAATGTTACGTTTGGTACAATAGAAGAATGAAATAATGAAAAGGTAGAAGGGTGAAAAATTAGAAGGATTGATAAAACATTATGTTTGGTAAAGTAGAGATAAATAAGTTTTCCTTCTAACTCACTAAAATTAATTCCTTCAAAATTAAATAAAAAAATTGATGATAAATTAATTAATTGTGTTGAAATATATTTTATTTGTTTACGTATCCTTTGATATCCTTGGCTTCCCAGGTGTTAACTTTGTTCCGATTTTCTCTCTCTTCTCTCCCTATTTCCTCTATCTCATTCACATGGCTGTTACCCTCTCTCCCTCTCTTCTACTTTCTCTCTCTCTCGCCTGCAAATTAACAGCCGCTTCTCTTCATCTTCCTTCTTCGTGCCTCTATCTCTTTCTCCCTATTTCCTTTCTCAAATTCTCTGCCTTGAGATTTACTTCTCGGCCGTTACACCCTTTTCCCTCTCTCCTACTTTCTCGCCCTTTTTCTCTTGCAAATTCATAGCCCCACCTCTTCAGCTTCCCCATCCGTCTCTCTATCTCTTTCTACCCTGCGTTTTCACATATCAGAGAATAGCACACCACCTCCTTCACCGATCAGAGAAGAGCACACCACCCCTTCACTGTCCCCCTCCCAGTCTCTCTCTCAGACCGTCGTCATGGACCCCTCTTCACCGTCCCCCTCTCAATATCTCTCTCCCCAAATTTATTTAATTACATGTATTCAATTACAAAAGTCAGTTACCCATTATAGATTTCAATTAGGCATCCATTTTCTTTGGTTGTGGCTATACACATCCCAACAATTAATTTGTTTAATTAAAAAGACTGCTGACCTTCTTCAATTCCTAGTTACAATCGCCCTTTCCCGTCCGAAAAATTCTTCGAAATCCTATTTGTCAGCGCTTGTGTCTTGGCATTATACTTTACACAGCAAAACTGCTTCTTCTTCAAGTTTTTCACCGCTAGAGGAGCTCTACCCTCTTCCTCTTACCAGGTAACTACTGTGTTAAAATTATTAGTTCTGAATTTTTGGTTTGAATTATTACTGAATTAGATATGATTTATGTTGGTGTTTTCTTCTTTGTGAATTCATTTTTGATTCAGTTTATTATTCTATTTAGTTGCTGGTGGAGAATATTAGTTTATGTCTTTTCATGGTGTTTGGTTTCTTTTTTGTTCCTGCTTAAAGAATATGTGACTTTGGAGTGTTGTTGATAATTCTTTTCTTCTGTAGATTTTTTTTTCTATCTAATATGCTGATTATTCTAATTAAAATATTATACAGAATATCAACCAAAGGACATCTCTCTCTCTCTCTCTCTCTCTCTCTCTCTCTCGTGTGTTGTGTGTGTATGTTTCTTTCTTGTTTAGGACTAATGGATGTGATGTTATCCAAAGTCCACCGAGTGCACAACACTTTCTTCTTGTATTTCCTTTGATGTGCCTCCTGTCAATCTATAATATCAACAATGAAATCACATTGCAGATCCTATTTGCCAACACCCTTCGCCTCTCTTTGACAGACGTTTGCTGCCTGTTGTGTCTTGGCATTATACTTTACACAATAAACCTGTTTCTTTTTCAAGCTTTCCACTGCTAGAGGAGCTCCACTCTCTCACTCTTATCAGATAACTACTGTGTTAAAATTTGGGTTAATTACAAGTTACACCCCGAAAGATAGTTTGAATCTCAATTTATACCCTCTAAAGATAAAAAATTTCAATTTGCACCCTCAAAGATAAAAATTTGTATCAATATGCATCCCCAAAGATAAAAAATCTCAATTTGCACCCTCAAAGATAGAAATTTGTATCAATATCCACCCCAAAAATAAAAAAAATCTCAATTTGCACCCTTAAAGATATAAATTTGTATCAATGTGCACCCCCAAAGATAAAAAATCTTAATTTACACTCCCAAAGATATAAATTTGTATCAATGTGAATCTAAAATTAAATTGATAAATTCTACCTAGATCCCCTCATGTTTGTCACTTAATCATTTGGACCCCTTCACGTTTAGAATATTACTCTCACATCTCATGGCGTTTGTGCATGTGTAACACGTAACCTTTTTTCGTTAATGTATGATAATATAACTGTTAAAAATATGATTTTATCCTAATAAAAAATTATAATTTCATATTACCCTTTATTTTGTGGGTCTGATATACTCTAAAGTTCAAAATTAAGCTTACCATTTGAATGTCCAATAGAATGTAGATATTTATATAATATTTTTTATATCCAATGCAATATATCACTCAATGTGCAACCATATATTCTATTAGACATTCAAATGGTAAGCTTGATTTTGAATTTTAGAGTATATTGAACCCATAAAATAAAGGGTAATATGAAATTATAATTTTTTATTAGAATAAAATCATATTTTTTAACTGTTATATTAACAGATATCAACGAAAAGGAGTTACGTGTTACACGTGCACAAACGTTATGAGATGTAGGAGTAATATTTTAAATATAAAGAGGTCCAAATGATTAAGTGACAAGCAAAAGGGATCTAGGTATAATTTATCAATTTAGTTTTAGGTGCACATTGATAGAAATTTCTATCTTTGAGGGTGCAAATTGAGATTTTTTATCTTTGGGGTTGCACATTGATACAAATTTCTATTTTTGAGGGTGCAAATTGAGATTTTTAATCTTTAGAAGTGCATATTGATACAATTTTTGATCTTTGAGGGTGCAAATTAAGATTTTTGATCTTTGAGGGTGCAAATTGAGATTCGAATGATCTTTCAGGGTGCAATTTGTAATTAATCCTTAAAATTATTAGTTCTGAATTTTTGGTTTGTTTTTGGTTCAAATTATTATTGAATTAGATATGATTCATGCTAGTGTTTTCTTCTTTGTGAATTCGTTTCTGATTCAGTTTATTATTCTATTTAGTTGCTGGTGGAGAACATTAGTTTATCTTGCGATGCAGTCACTTTGTGCTGAACTAATTGACCATGTATCGTTAACACCAAAGATGAAACAACAAATACATATATGACAATTCCATCACAGATTCTGCTGCAAGACCTTATTTCTTCTCGTCTTCTAAGTTGTTACTATTATACCCTTATTATTTTACTTTTGGTATTGTCAATATAATTTTAGAGAATTTATTTTTGTATTCATACTACTTAGTATAGCAGAAGTGTCATATTTCTATATAATAGGTGTTGTTCAACAAGTCAGGTGTTTCTCTTTTGGTTCTTCGTAATTGGAGTGGAAGAATTCAAAATCTTCTTTTCTTTTAATTGTGCATGCACTTCAGCATTGTTGCAAAGAGTGTGGACACTGAAGAAGTTAAGGGAGTTGATGACGCTTTCGTTTTACAAGCTGCCCAAGACTGTGCCTTCTTGCTTTCTCTAAGATTTTATTGAGGCAAGTTTTTTAATTTGCTATGCATAAGTTGATTTATTGTGAATTAAGATACATTGAGGGTGAATTAAGATTTGTGTGTTTTCTTTTGCCTTTCTTGGCTTGGTATTTTGCTATTTTATTGTATTTTTATCCTTTTTCCTTATGTCATTGATTATGGGTTATTCGTTATTTGAATGGTACTTATCCTATGTTGTTCACTTGTGTTGCTACAAATATTGCCAAGACCGTAAATACTTAAGGACTTTATAGGTACTATATTCACCGCTTAAAATGTGAAATTAGTAGATGTTGATTTTGTGAGATTGTTTGGTTGTTGTTGCAGGCCAGAGAGGAAATGTCAAGGGAGAGACTGCGTTACTTAGAAGCCATGGTAATGTTATGACCATATAAGTTTATTTCAATTATTCCATGAAATAGGGATTTGTATTATATGTATTATAAGAGATATTATATGTTATCCTTTGGTTTCAATAAAACTTGGTGTCCAAAGTAGATGAATGGACTTTTGGATTCCCACTTTATGACAAACTATGTGGTGAGTATGTGGCAACTTAGCTGCATTTGTATGTTCAATTCAGTACATTAAATGCTACATTTTCACTGCATTTTGCATTTGTTTTTAGGTAGTGTCAGTCAAACTTGACAGGAACTAGAATTAAAATAGCCAAGTTCTTACAGGTTTATGAGGCTCTTGAGCACAAGCTGGTCGTTGCAGAAGCCAATCAAAGGTTAAGGCTTCCACTTATTGCTAAAGACAATGAGATTCAAGAGGAAGAAATTGAGAAATGTAGTATAATGTCAAGAAGCTCCCTTGATAGTACGAGTACCAGCGTCACTATAAGCTTAAGCTCAAACTCAAATTCAAACACAATGAACTACACAAATATTTTCGGCAATTGGGATTGGTGGTACAACAAATAATGCTCTTGCTGGCAGTGCTATTGATGAAGCAGATCCTGGAGTTGGTGGTGTTCCTAATCGATTCTTTGGAATAACAGTTGTTTACTTGCGAAAAACTCAACTCCAGCATGCACCACTATCTACAGGATGGTAATGCATCAAGTGATGATGCAAAATGTGTTTTAAGAACTTTATTGGCTATTTTTGAGATACTTCAACTCTATCTATCCGTGCTACTTTTAAACAATGAATAAGAGGTATATTTTGTTCTTCTCATTGTCTCGTGAAATTAAATGCTATTCTATTTATGTGTATCTATATCTGTATATTTATACATATGTATGCATGTTTTTTAGTGAATCCTTTTATGTTGTTAAAGGAACAATTCATTTCTTTGTGATTGTAGGACATGGCAGAATACCAGATGTCACTTTTCCATGCAATAGAGAGTCGTTTAAAAGCTAAATGCGATAAGTTAGCTGATGTCTGCATATTAGATGAGTTTGGTCAGTCCTATATCTTACATCCCCACCCATCCCCCTCCCCCCAAAAAAAAAAAAACCCGTGTGCACACAGGCATTAGGCACTAACTTCTTCAGGGGGGACATTAAATAACATCCCTTAAATTTGCCCCTTGTGAAGAATCTGCTTGATTGGGAATTTCAACTGATGTTTTGGGCGCTGGGAGTACATTGTTGACCATGTGTCTAACTGGAGATTGTATTTGTAACTGATAAACTATGTGCATAATATTACTCCTTCTATGCTGCAGACGTCTCCTCAACTGGTAATCCAAATACAAGTGCTCGACTTCCAGAAAGGTTTGTATTATTTTTGGTATTGTCATTATTTAATATATATTCACACGTATATAGACAGATTTACGTATGCATGTGCGTGTGCGTGTAGAGTCCACAAGGAGTTTCAGATTTCTGATGATTAACCTTTAGCTTGCATTCTTCCACTGGTCATGTTAACAGAGTAAAGTTAATTATTGAGGATATTGAGAGGGAAGAAACAGCTCTGCAAGAGGATCTATATTCTGTGAATAGAAAATTCGTGGAGTATTACAATGTATGTGTCAGTAGTTATAAGCCGCACTTCAACCTACTATCATTGGACCTCTCTCAGTCGATATCTTCTTGTTTATCTTTTGCATTGCATTGAGTAATTTCCTTATGATGATGAGACCTCTTTTATTCTTTTTTTGTATGTGACCTGAAGGTTTTACAAGCTAATTGACGTACCAATGAGTAACTGCATCAATAGTGGCATAAAGAAGAATTTTATCCTTACCTAGTTCAACTCTTTCTTCCTCAACCATCACCTTCTTGCACCTACAACTTTGGAAATGGTGTGAGTTTTGGGGATGGATTTGTCGAGGTAAGATGAATCATTAGACTTGTAAATGGATATATCAGCCAATAATATTAGAAATGCATAATCTAAAGTTGAACTTTATTTTGAGAATGTTGTTCTTTTTGGAACCGACAGAGCAAGTTGAGAACTTCTTCCGTATTATTATTATGTGGTGGGCTGTGNGCAATTTGTAATTAATCCTTAAAATTATTAGTTCTGAATTTTTGGTTTGTTTTTGGTTCAAATTATTATTGAATTAGATATGATTCATGCTAGTGTTTTCTTCTTTGTGAATTCGTTTCTGATTCAGTTTATTATTCTATTTAGTTGCTGGTGGAGAACATTAGTTTATCTTGCGATGCAGTCACTTTGTGCTGAACTAATTGACCATGTATCGTTAACACCAAAGATGAAACAACAAATACATATATGACAATTCCATCACAGATTCTGCTGCAAGACCTTATTTCTTCTCGTCTTCTAAGTTGTTACTATTATACCCTTATTATTTTACTTTTGGTATTGTCAATATAATTTTAGAGAATTTATTTTTGTATTCATACTACTTAGTATAGCAGAAGTGTCATATTTCTATATAATAGGTGTTGTTCAACAAGTCAGGTGTTTCTCTTTTGGTTCTTCGTAATTGGAGTGGAAGAATTCAAAATCTTCTTTTCTTTTAATTGTGCATGCACTTCAGCATTGTTGCAAAGAGTGTGGACACTGAAGAAGTTAAGGGAGTTGATGACGCTTTCGTTTTACAAGCTGCCCAAGACTGTGCCTTCTTGCTTTCTCTAAGATTTTATTGAGGCAAGTTTTTTAATTTGCTATGCATAAGTTGATTTATTGTGAATTAAGATACATTGAGGGTGAATTAAGATTTGTGTGTTTTCTTTTGCCTTTCTTGGCTTGGTATTTTGCTATTTTATTGAATTTTTATCCTTTTTCCTTATGTCATTGATTATGGGTTATTCGTTATTTGAATGGTACTTATCCTATGTTGTTCACTTGTGTTGCTACAAATATTGCCAAGACCGTAAATACTTAAGGACTTTATAGGTACTATATTCACTGCTTAAAATGTGAAATTAGTAGATGTTGATTTTGTGAGATTGTTTGGTTGTTGTTGCAGGCCAGAGAGGAAATGTCAAGGGAGAGACTGCGTTACTTAGAAGCCATGGTAATGTTATGACCATATAAGTTTATTTCAATTATTCCATGAAATAGGGATTTGTATTATATGTATTATAAGAGATATTATATGTTATCCTTTGGTTTCAATAAAACTTGGTGTCCAAAGTAGATGAATGGACTTTTGGATTCCCACTTTATGACAAACTATGTGGTGAGTATGTGGCAACTTAGCTGCATTTGTATGTTCAATTCAGTACATTAAATGCTACATTTTCACTGCATTTTGCATTTGTTTTTAGGTAGTGTCAGTCAAACTTGACAGGAACTAGAATTAAAATAGCCAAGTTCTTACAGGTTTATGAGGCTCTTGAGCACAAGCTGGTCGTTGCAGAAGCCAATCAAAGGTTAAGGCTTCCACTTATTGCTAAAGACAATGAGATTCAAGAGGAAGAAATTGAGAAATGTAGTATAATGTCAAGAAGCTCCCTTGATAGTACGAGTACCAGCGTCACTATAAGCTTAAGCTCAAACTCAAATTCAAACACAATGAACTACACAAATATTTTCGGCAATTGGGATTGGTGGTACAACAAATAATGCTCTTGCTGGCAGTGCTATTGATGAAGCAGATCCTGGAGTTGGTGGTGTTCCTAATCGATTCTTTGGAATAACAGTTGTTTACTTGCGAAAAACTCAACTCCAGCATGCACCACTATCTACAGTATGGTAATGCATCAAGTGATGATGCAAAATGTGTTTTAAGAACTTTATTGGCTATTTTTGAGATACTTCAACTCTATCTATCCGTGCTACTTTTAAACAATGAATAAGAGGTATATTTTGTTCTTCTCATTGTCTCGTGAAATTAAATGCTATTCTATTTATGTGTATCTATATCTGTATATTTATACATATGTATGCATGTTTTTTAGTGAATCCTTTTATGTTGTTAAAGGAACAATTCATTTCTTTGTGATTGTAGGACATGGCAGAATACCAGATGTCACTTTTCCATGCAATAGAGAGTCGTTTAAAAGCTAAATGCGATAAGTTAGCTGATGTCTGCATATTAGATGAGTTTGGTCAGTCCTATATCTTACATCCCCACCCATCCCCCTCCCCCCAAAAAAAAAAAAACCCGTGTGCACACAGGCATTAGGCACTAACTTCTTCAGGGGGGACATTAAATAACATCCCTTAAATTTGCCCCTTGTGAAGAATCTGCTTGATTGGGAATTTCAACTGATGTTTTGGGCGCTGGGAGTACATTGTTGACCATGTGTCTAACTGGAGATTGTATTTGTAACTGATAAACTATGTGCATAATATTACTCCTTCTATGCTGCAGACGTCTCCTCAACTGGTAATCCAAATACAAGTGCTCGACTTCCAGAAAGGTTTGTATTATTTTTGGTATTGTCATTATTTAATATATATTCACACGTATATAGACAGATTTACGTATGCATGTGCGTGTGCGTGTAGAGTCCACAAGGAGTTTCAGATTTCTGATGATTAACCTTTAGCTTGCATTCTTCCACTGGTCATGTTAACAGAGTAAAGTTAATTATTGAGGATATTGAGAGGGAAGAAACAGCTCTGCAAGAGGATCTATATTCTGTGAATAGAAAATTCGTGGAGTATTACAATGTATGTGTCAGTAGTTATAAGCCGCACTTCAACCTACTATCATTGGACCTCTCTCAGTCGATATCTTCTTGTTTATCTTTTGCATTGCATTGAGTAATTTCCTTATGATGATGAGACCTCTTTTATTCTTTTTTTGTATGTGACCTGAAGGTTTTACAAGCTAATTGACGTACCAATGAGTAACTGCATCAATAGTGGCATAAAGAAGAATTTTATCCTTACCCAGTTCAACTCTTTCTTCCGCAACCATCACCTTCTTGCACCTACAACTTTGGAAATGGTGTGAGTTTTGGGGATGGATTTGTCAAGGTAAGATGAATCATTAGACTTGTAAATGGATATATCAGCCAATAATATTAGAAATGCATAATCTAAAGTTGAACTTTATTTTGAGAATGTTGTTCTTTTTGGAACCGACAGAGCAAGTTGAGAACTTCTTCCGTATTATTATTATGTGGTGGGCTGTGGTGGCATCGATTTGGGTGGCATACAAGAATTCAACAATGCTATGGTGGTGTGATTTGTGTTGTTTTGGTGGCGACAATTCAGGTGGCGTTGATTTGGGCTACTGTGGCCGATGTCGATTTCAGGTGGGTGTGACAATGGATTCCGGCAAAGATGAAGAGATGAGGAGAACCATTAGGGCTTAAGGGGAAATCGAACAAAAATCAATTGCTTGTTAGTGATGTGGCCGGCATCAATATCCAGTGGTTCTCTCCATTGTGCAGCTTCCGTGTACGACCCAGAAAGAAAATTTGGTAGTAGAGTCAGTCTAGAGCTTATGTAGAGAAGAAGAGAAGCTGTAAAGATACCGGAAAAAAAGAAAACAATCATTCTTGTAGATACCTATCAGGATGCAGATAAAAAATTTTACAGTTGAACCTCTTTTTTTTTTTTAAATTCAGTCATTTGCAGTTTTAATTCAATAATATAACAAAACATATATTATATCATTCACTCTATGACACTATCTGTTAAAAAAAAAAACTACTATACAGATTTAGGTCTATTAGCAAATAGAAAACTAGCAGAAACTCTTCTTTGTGCTCCTCAGGTATCTCTCCAATATTGAGATGATCAGCTATTCATCACAGAAAGAATTTCTACTTGGCATTGTTTTTTGATGAGCATTATTACCCACTGGGGACTTCATTCTTTGCTCAATGTTTCTCTGTAGTTCTCTTGTTATGGAGTATTTACTTGATTTTGAACTCATCTGTATTTCTATACATGATAAGCAGCCTTGATAACAGTTCTGCAATCTTTTTGCTTTTTATTTTGTACCAGTTATTTTCATATATTTATGTAGTCCTATTCAACTACTGTTCATTTTTCTATCACTTGGCGTCATTCACACTGGTAGTACATACTTCACTTTATGTTCCTTATAGTTATATTAGTATTCAATCGTCAATGTTTGAACTTCTAAAAAATTACTTAAATTTATATGACAGCTTTGGAAGTCCTACATAAGAAGGCTATTGATATTAGTTGGACTAAGTCTTGGATTTGCTGTTGAAATTGATTTCGCGTTCAATTTTCCAAAAGATGTAAGAATTTCATTCAACGTGATGTTACCAACCATTCTTCTATAGTCAACGAATATCTAGGCAAGATTCAAATAATCAGATAACAGGTTCTCTATTTTTTCATTTACAATTTCCACTTTTTAAGGTAACAGATTTATTATACATGTTATCAACAACCCACTGGTAGACCTTGCGACTTATTGAAAGCAAGACGAGATAAAATTTAATTAAAGGTTACCATGAAGAAGTTAATGTTTGATGTTGTGGTATTTTGATGTAGAATTTTAGTGTTTATTTTTTGGATTAATATCATTGATTTGCATAATTGACTTAAAATTCTTTTGATACAGGTTAGAACTTGATGGAGTCAAGCTTTTTTTTCAATATCTAACTGCAAAATTATAGAGGTGCTATCNTTCCTAATCGATTCTTTGGAATAACAGTTGTTTACTTGCGAAAAACTCAACTCCAGCATGCACCACTATCTACAGGATGGTAATGCATCAAGTGATGATGCAAAATGTGTTTTAAGAACTTTATTGGCTATTTTTGAGATACTTCAACTCTATCTATCCGTGCTACTTTTAAACAATGAATAAGAGGTATATTTTGTTCTTCTCATTGTCTCGTGAAATTAAATGCTATTCTATTTATGTGTATCTATATCTGTATATTTATACATATGTATGCATGTTTTTTAGTGAATCCTTTTATGTTGTTAAAGGAACAATTCATTTCTTTGTGATTGTAGGACATGGCAGAATACCAGATGTCACTTTTCCATGCAATAGAGAGTCGTTTAAAAGCTAAATGCGATAAGTTAGCTGATGTCTGCATATTAGATGAGTTTGGTCAGTCCTATATCTTACATCCCCACCCATCCCCCTCCCCCCAAAAAAAAAAAAACCCGTGTGCACACAGGCATTAGGCACTAACTTCTTCAGGGGGGACATTAAATAACATCCCTTAAATTTGCCCCTTGTGAAGAATCTGCTTGATTGGGAATTTCAACTGATGTTTTGGGCGCTGGGAGTACATTGTTGACCATGTGTCTAACTGGAGATTGTATTTGTAACTGATAAACTATGTGCATAATATTACTCCTTCTATGCTGCAGACGTCTCCTCAACTGGTAATCCAAATACAAGTGCTCGACTTCCAGAAAGGTTTGTATTATTTTTGGTATTGTCATTATTTAATATATATTCACACGTATATAGACAGATTTACGTATGCATGTGCGTGTGCGTGTAGAGTCCACAAGGAGTTTCAGATTTCTGATGATTAACCTTTAGCTTGCATTCTTCCACTGGTCATGTTAACAGAGTAAAGTTAATTATTGAGGATATTGAGAGGGAAGAAACAGCTCTGCAAGAGGATCTATATTCTGTGAATAGAAAATTCGTGGAGTATTACAATGTATGTGTCAGTAGTTATAAGCCGCACTTCAACCTACTATCATTGGACCTCTCTCAGTCGATATCTTCTTGTTTATCTTTTGCATTGCATTGAGTAATTTCCTTATGATGATGAGACCTCTTTTATTCTTTTTTTGTATGTGACCTGAAGGTTTTACAAGCTAATTGACGTACCAATGAGTAACTGCATCAATAGTGGCATAAAGAAGAATTTTATCCTTACCCAGTTCAACTCTTTCTTCCGCAACCATCACCTTCTTGCACCTACAACTTTGGAAATGGTGTGAGTTTTGGGGATGGATTTGTCAAGGTAAGATGAATCATTAGACTTGTAAATGGATATATCAGCCAATAATATTAGAAATGCATAATCTAAAGTTGAACTTTATTTTGAGAATGTTGTTCTTTTTGGAACCGACAGAGCAAGTTGAGAACTTCTTCCGTATTATTATTATGTGGTGGGCTGTGGTGGCATCGATTTGGGTGGCATACAAGAATTCAACAATGCTATGGTGGTGTGATTTGTGTTGTTTTGGTGGCGACAATTCAGGTGGCGTTGATTTGGGCTACTGTGGCCGATGTCGATTTCAGGTGGGTGTGACAATGGATTCCGGCAAAGATGAAGAGATGAGGAGAACCATTAGGGCTTAAGGGGAAATCGAACAAAAATCAATTGCTTGTTAGTGATGTGGCCGGCATCAATATCCAGTGGTTCTCTCCATTGTGCAGCTTCCGTGTACGACCCAGAAAGAAAATTTGGTAGTAGAGTCAGTCTAGAGCTTATGTAGAGAAGAAGAGAAGCTGTAAAGATACCGGAAAAAAAGAAAACAATCATTCTTGTAGATACCTATCAGGATGCAGATAAANTTTTTTTAAATAAATATATTTTTCATATTTTTCATTCGTTTTACTTTTCATCATTCTTGTGAAACGGAGTATAAAGTGGTCAAACTATCAAAGGCCATTTATTTGGACAAAAGACCCACGTGCAATTTTCATAGATTTTGGTCTGTTATCCTTATCTCAATCATGATTTTTCTACGCCATAGAGAAATGTCCTTTCCTTTTGGGTCAGTTGCGAGTGAGGAGGGATGTAAAGCCCGACACCGTGGTTCATAGTCACATGAGCTAGGGCTCCACCCTATCTCCGTCGAGTCTACTGTCGGCGTTGTTTGGATGACCTAAACATAAGGAGAGTAATGCTACAAAAAACACAATGATTGAATGCTAGAGGACAATGACAAAAAAAAAAAATTGCTAGGGGACAAATTGGTGTAATAGTTAAGAAGATAAATTATAACATATTAAAATAATACATAAAAAATTTAAGAGTTAATTGTATTAAAGATCCCAAAAATATAAAATTTGTCTTATCTTAGTCTCTAATATTTTAATTACATCATTTTGGTCCTTGAAATATTAAATATATGTTTATATAGTCTTTCAACAAGACGTCGTTCATATTTTTAACGATTTTTTATTATAAACTTGTCAAGTAATATTTAAATATAGATAAAAAGATAATTTGGATAACTCTTGATTAAATTTTTATGCAAATTTTGGTCAAATAACTATCAAAATTATACAGTTTTGATCATGAAATATCCAAATTTTGGTTAAAAACTTCTCATATTACACATTTTGGTCAACTATGACCCAAATTTTGGTCAAAAGCTACCTAAATTATTTATTGTTCATATTTAGGTATTACGTGACAAGATTATGATAAAAAAAATTTAGCAATTTAGATGTTGTCTGGTTGAAAAACAACATAAAAATATATTTAATATTTCAGGGACAAAAATAATGTAATTGAAATATTAGTGATTAAAATGAGATAAACTTCAAACTTTAAGAACCTCTAATGCAATTAATCCAAAATCTAAAACTATTTAAAATTTGTATTTAAGATATTTATGCTCTCCCTACACTCTTGTTAAAAGTATGATAAAATATAATTCTATTCAAAGATATAAATTTTAATTTATATAATTAATTATTTGATAAATTAATTTTATTCATTTATTTATTTGAATTAAATTTATTTATTTTATTAAAAATAATAATTATATTATATGGAGTAAACACATGTAAAAAATTGACATTATTAAATGACTCACATTAAATAAAAATATCATATTATGCCACTATTTATTTATTCGATAAAAATTTTCAGCTCCGTCGTCGAGTGTGATTATTCATATCATATCAAATGAAGGTAAATTATAAATCACCCAAAATTAATTACCTATTTGACTTCTAATTATATTACTCATGTCAATTAAGTCCTAAATTATATTTTGTCTCAATTTATCCTCTGATTTATGTAATCTGATTCACTTTGGCACTTTCGTCTAAATTCATTGTTAATTTTGATGAAAATTCTCACGTGCGTATCACGCAACCCTTAACCTATACTATAATCTCTAACTCACGTGATATGAGAATTTTCGTCAAAGTTAATAACAAATTTAGACAAAATGATCGCACTGAGTTAGATTACGTAGTTCAAGAATTAAATTGACACAAAACATAATTTAGTAACTTAACTGACATAAATTGTATAATTCAGGGGGTAAAATAGATAATTAACTCTAAAATAAAATTGATGCTAAAATAAAATTCGTGTCAAAAAATTTAATGTTCCGTTTGGTATGATAGAAAAATAAAATAATGAAAAATTAGAAGTGTGAAAAGTTAGAGGGATAGATAAAACATTATATTTGGTAAAGAAGGAAAATATAAAAGATAGAAAAGTGGATGGAAGAGTTTTCCTTCTANTTTATTATACATGTTATCAACAACCCACTGGTAGACCTTGCGACTTATTGAAAGCAAGACGAGATAAAATTTAATTAAAGGTTACCATGAAGAAGTTAATGTTTGATGTTGTGGTATTTTGATGTAGAATTTTAGTGTTTATTTTTTGGATTAATATCATTGATTTGCATAATTGACTTAAAATTCTTTTGATACAGGTTAGAACTTGATGGAGTCAAGCTTTTTTTTCAATATCTAACTGCAAAATTATAGAGGTGCTATCTGAAAATTCCTCAAATGACAAGATTCTTGCAAGTACAAAAGCTCAAGTAGCTCCTCTGTGTTACTAGGGACAATGGCATTCCCAGAAGGGTTGCTGAAATTGTTTAGGTTGGTAACAAATCCCACCCTTTTATGGATAGGACTTATAGTCAACTCATTGATTTTGGTTCTATTTTTGTATATTGATTTTTTTAGCAAATTTCACTCAAAATTCTCTTCGAATCCTAACTATCTCTTACTTTTACTCTATTTCAATATCTTTCTCCTAAAGTGTCTCTTTTTTCAATATTTATTGTACTACCAAACCCAATGAGGTTCCTTTACATTTGTCTGGTAGAATAATTTTTATTAAGGAGGTTTTTGTTTTTTGTTCCTACCTATGGATATAATAATACGGTTATACATTAAATGAATTATTACTTTGCTATTTTATTTATCTTTTGCTTTTATTTATCATCGATCATGTCAATGAAAAGTAGCAAAGAGAAAACTATCATCAACTCAAGTACTCCAGTTGGAGGGACTTTGTTTGTAGTTTAACTACTAAATTTTTTCCTTCAGCCCATCATTAGAGAGTTGCTTATGTTTAACAGTGTCATTTTTGTGTTTGCGTTAAAACAACAATAAAACTCTAGAGTCTTAATTTCATCTATTTTCTTTGTTTTGTCTTGCCATTAAACAAAAATTGTCACCGGATAGTGTCAAAGAACTTTTCATGAACAAACTACACGAGAAAAAAGGTAATCATTTTCAATAGAGGATAATTTCAATGGATTCCATAACAAAATCATAATGTTTTATTATACATCAAAAACCTTCAACATACAAATTTTTGGTGCTGCCATCCATAAGTAATCATTGTAAATAATAATTTCGATCAATTACAGTTCACGTGTAACGCACGTGTGCATCTATTAGTTCATGTATAAATATAATGATAAAATATACATTTATATTTTTTTTAAAAAATATATTTTTTCCATCTTACCAAACACAAAAAAAAAATTATATTTTAATTTTTCATCCATCATATTAAACACAAAAAAATAAATAATAATATATCATTTTTATTTTCTTTTTTTTTTTAAATAAATATATTTTTCATATTTTTCATTCGTTTTACTTTTCATCATTCTTGTGAAACGGAGTATAAAGTGGTCAAACTATCAAAGGCCATTTATTTGGACAAAAGACCCACGTGCAATTTTCATAGATTTTGGTCTACACCATAGAGAAATGTCCTTTCCTTTTGGGTCAGTTGCGAGTGAGGAGGGATGTAAAGCCCGACACCGTGGTTCATAGTCACATGAGCTAGGGCTCCACCCTATCTCCGTCGAGTCTACTGTCGGCGTTGTTTGGATGACCTAAACATAAGGAGAGTAATGCTACAAAAAAACACAATGATTGAATGCTAGAGGACAATGACAAAAAAAAAAAATTGCTAGGGGACAAATTGGTGTAATAGTTAAGAAGATAAATTATAACATATTAAAATAATACATAAAAAATTTAAGAATTAATTGTATTAAAGATCCCAAAAATATAAAATTTGTCTTATCTTAGTCTCTAATATTTTAATTACATCATTTTGGTCCTTGAAATATTAAATATATGTTTATATAGTCTTTCAACAAGACGTCGTTCATATTTTTAACGATTTTTTATTATAAACTTGTCAAGTAATATTTAAATATAGATAAAAAGATAATTTGGATAACTCTTGATTAAATTTTTATGCAAATTTTGGTCAAATAACTATCAAAATTATACAGTTTTGATCATGAAATATCCAAATTTTGGTTAAAAACTTCTCATATTACACATTTTGGTCAACTATGACCCAAATTTTGGTCAAAAGCTACCTAAATTATTTATTGTTCATATTTAGGTATTACGTGACAAGATTATGATAAAAAAAATTTAGCAATTTAGATGTTGTCTGGTTGAAAAACAACATAAAAATATATTTAATATTTCAGGGACAAAAATAATGTAATTGAAATATTAGTGATTAAAATGAGATAAACTTCAAACTTTAAGAACCTCTAATGCAATTAATCCAAAATCTAAAACTATTTAAAATTTGTATTTAAGATATTTATGCTCTCCCTACACTCTTGTTAAAAGTATGATAAAATATAATTCTATTCAAAGATATAAATTTTAATTTATATAATTAATTATTTGATAAATTAATTTTATTCATTTATTTATTTGAATTAAATTTATTTATTTTATTAAAAATAATAATTATATTTATATGGAGTAAACACATGTAAAAAATTGACATTATTAAATGACTCACATTAAATAAAAATATCATATTATGCCACTATTTATTTATTCGATAAAAATTTTCAGCTCCGTCGTCGAGTGTGATTATTCATATCATATCAAATGAAGGTAAATTATAAATCACCCAAAATTAATTACCTATTTGACTTCTAATTATATTACTCATGTCAATTAAGTCCTAAATTATATTTTGTCTCAATTTATCCTCTGATTTATGTAATCTGATTCACTTTGGCACTTTCGTCTAAATTCATTGTTAATTTTGATGAAAATTCTCACGTGCGTATCACGCAACCCTTAACCTATACTATAAT